TTTGCTTCTTTGTACAAGGCAAAAGAAAAAGAATCCCTATATAGTTACATAATGGTACTGTTACATACCTGGGTAGATTATGAGAATACATCTTAAGTAGCACAGTGTCAATGGTGTAAATTGGAGTCCATGGATTTTATGTATTATATTCGAACAACTACTAAGACTATTTGTATGAATTACAGCCAGATCCAACACAAAACAGATTGTAAATCATATTCCTTCCACAGCCTAGGCTTCCCCTAAAGGAGAGACATGATAGAGGTGTTCAAAATAATGCATGGTGTGGAGAAGGAGACGATTTTCTCCCTCTCCCATAGCACTTGAACCCGGGGTCATCCCATGAAGCTGACTGGTGGGATATTTAGGACACGTAAGGAGAAATACCACTTCGTACAATGTATAAAACTGTGGAATTTACTGCCATGGGAAGGGGTGATGGCCACCAATCTGGATGGCTTTAAAAAGGGATTGGACAGGTTCATGAGGGAGGAGGCTACCAGTGGCTAATGGCCTTGCTGGCTGAGGGGGACCTCCCTTACGAGAGGCAGCATGCTGGCATACACCAGTTGCTGAGTTTGGGCAGGCAGAGGTCTAGCACCCATCCTACTTGAGGGATCCCATGGGCAGCTGGTCTGCCACCACGCGTACAGAGGGCTAGCCTAGGCGGGCCTTTGGCCACACCCAGCACAGCTTCGCTAATGTGCGTAAATGTGCGACTGGCACTGGGAGAGCGAGTGGGGAGAGGGCGGGAAGGCACATGCCGCAGCTGCAGCCCATCTCGGAGGTGGCCCTCCCAGTGCCAGGGCCCTTCCTCCTGTTTGGCACCTGCTTGGGGCAGCTTGGACGAGGATTTCCAGCCAGTGGACTAAGTAGGGCAGTTGTTTCTGGGATTAATCGATTAGACTTTGTGGTTATTTCTTTAGGGTTCTTTAGTATTTTCAATGGATGATATTGTTGCACTGTTTAGGTCTTTTTATATTTGTTTTATTGTTGCATATTTATTTTGGAAACCTATTTGGACTTATTGTCAAATGTATTCGGAATCCCACTGTATTTGGAAATGTATATCTGTTTTTATTGTTGGAAATGTAAACTGCCAAGAGAGCCCTGTGGGCTATGGAAGCAGTATATAAATGAAATGATGATGACGACAACAACAACTACTACTGCTACTGATGCACTCCAAGATTGAAATTAGATGTCTGACAGAAAACACTGATCTAGCAAACTGGATTGTCACTTGCCCACGAAAAAGGCGGGGAAGGAGAATATAATGTGAAAGGAATACCTATGTTTTCTCCATCTGAGATTTCAAGGTAGGCTTTCCACATCATCAAGTGTTTGGAAAAGAAAGTAGCGAATGGGGTTAGATACCTGCTGCTCCCCTTGCAAATTCTTCCAGAGCTGCTTTGCAGCAGAGAAGTAGCAGTTGCTTTCCAGATACAGGTTTGCTGCCAAATGCCTAATTTAACCCCAACTGTGTTTGGCGCTGCCGCTTTCCTTGCTAGATTCAGATTTCTCACAGGGGCTATAAAATGCTTTTTAATTAGGGCAGGGGAAGGCAGACGGCTGCCATCCAGATGTTTTAGACTACAATATCCAGAAGGCTCAGTGAGCCATCTGGAGTCCACTAGGTTGGGGTTTGGTGCTGCTTCAGGGGTTTGGTGCTCTTTCTAAAAACAGAGAAGCTGCTCTGCTGAGTATTTGTTGTCCAAGTCACTGGATCCTACCTGGCAAATTATTTATTATTTATTTATTTATTAAAACATTTTTATGCCGCCCCATTCGCCAAAGCCTCGGGGCGGCTTACAACATAGATAAAACAAGTTAAAATCCATATAAAATAATCTTAATTAAAACTCACATTATAAAATAAGCCGCCCTGGCCAGATAAAATTCAATTGTATTTAGCATTTAAAATGTTGCTTAAATAAAAAGGTCTTAGCCTGGCGCCGAAAAACAAATAACGACGGCGCCAGGCGGACCTCTCTGGGGAGCGCATTCCATAACTTAGGCGCCACCGCTGAGAAAGCCCTTCTCCGAGTAGCCACCCTCCTAATTTCTCTCACGGAGGGCTCCCGGAGAAGGGCCTCTCCCGCCGATCTCAGGGGGTGACTGGGCAAATATGGATGTATTTCATAATTCAAATATGAATTATGAACTCCTAAGAAGGTAATGTACACCAGGGCTGTGCAATAGATGGACTACAGCACAGCAGTTAGCCACAGTTCCCACCACAAGAGATCACCTAGAGCTATGATCCCTGTGAAGGATGTGGATTCTGTGAAGTGTGAACAGGTACTGCTAAGGCAATTGTATTCGAAGAACACACATGATCTTAGGAATAAAAGCCTACCTGGTCTGTATGATCATGATTATGCATTCCTGCTTTGGAAACACAATATGTCAGTAGAACAGCCTTTCCCAACACATGCCTTCCAGATCTTGGGACTTCAGCAGTTCTAACCAGTCCTAACTCATGGTCAGGCATGCTGCAAGTTTACTCTTAAACATCTGGAGCCATTAAGTTAGGGAAGGCTGATAAAAAACAGTAACACAGTCCGGATTTAACTTCTATGGTCTCTTAAAATATAAGAGGGGAAGTAAACATGTGCTAATTAATCTAGGGAGAGATTATCTTGATTTAGGAGCTTGCGGGCCGTCAGATTTAGTACTCTTGACATGATCATGAGGTAAGATTAGAGAAAAGGTAATGACAAAACCTGATTTTACCACAGGCTAAATGAAGCTTTAATATAAAATGTGATGATGAGGTGGCAGGTGGCAGGGAGACGAGGCTCAAATCCCTATGAACCTCTAGTAAAGGTTTTGAGGATAAGGCTAACAGTGCCTGAGAAATCCAGCTGGCGCAAAAGCCGCATACTTAGTGGAACAGAAGGGGAAGGGGCCAACAAACCTAATCAAATGATTGCAACATGAGCCTTGATTGTCCCTGCAATGGAGTAGGAACCCAAACAACTTTGATGCATGTTGACTGGGTCGACTTGTTCATCAACTCTATTGGTTTTTATATTTATTCATTTATTTATTTGCAAGAAGTAGCTTTGCTGTGCATCTTCATACTAATCTACACCTTCTCAAACAACAGCATGAACCCACAATAAAATCCATTCACCATTGCACTGATTATAACCATATACATTGTGGCTGGGTGTTCCCATAAAGGAGAATTGCAGGAATCAGCAAAGGACTTGATTAAAATGAGATGGCTAGTAATCTGGCTTATTTTGTCTGAAAAAGGGAATGTATGTAGATACGAGGACAAGCATATAGAAACCTAAACATCCTACAGTTAGCATCAAGTCATCTGTCTTCCACACTTTTTCCTCTGAGTAACTGCTTACATGTAGAGACAGACTTCATTACATCTGCCTAAGTAACATAAGAAGAGCCATATTGACCCAGCCCAAAGGTCCTTCTAGCCCCTTATTCACAAGCACTGATCCACCAGGAGGTGGTCATACAGTGGGCAGCAGCACCAACCCTTCCAAGGTCCCCAACAAGTGGACCAGGTGTGCCATGTGTGAGACTTGCAACCGACACAGGACAAATTCCCCGGAGCATCCCTTCCCAGACGACCTGGGAGTGCATGCACAGGCGCACAAGGCTCATGATGCAATGCAGAAGGCAAATTACACTAAGGAAAATTGTCACCCGGCATATAAGATGACTCCAACTTTTGCTTTGCTATTTTTGATTTCAAGGGTGAGTTTGTTGGTGACCTTTGGACTCAGAGCAACCTTTCCTAACTTGTGTGTGGCATACAGAGTTTCTGTTCTTGTGGTTTTGATTAACCTCTAAACGTTCTGAAGGCGTATAACTCTTCTGACTCCCCTATTGGACGTCCTCTTACTAGCTATCTCATTTTGGAGAAAGTTCCTCTTTTGACTGAAATATGACTTCCTTATTAATTTTGCAGCCTCAGGAAAGCAGCCAGTTCCACACTGGCTGCAAGTGGGGAAGGGTGCTATTAGCTTTGAGTTCCAGCTCCAACCCCTTTCCAAGATGAACAGGAACTCAGGATCCCCGAAACAGTGCCTGACTTAGTGACTTTTTATAGATACGTTCACATGGTTCACTATAGATCTAAAATGTGAAAAATAATATGCTTTTAATAGTAGGCGGAGCAATTACAGTTTTGCATACTAGCTGCCTATTAGTGAGAGGCTTGAACTGTAAAATGTGTGTATTTCTTATACTAGACCAATGAAGAAGACCCTAGCTAGGTCACAGCACATTGGTAATCTCTGATACTGGTTCTTTTTTGTAACATAAAATCCTTCCATAGTGTATTTATGCTTTTTATTGTTTATGTATGAATTCCTCCTCATAGATAGATAGGTGGGTTTTGTTGGACTGTATGAAAAACTATTTTCAAAAATTTCCAGTTCATTCATCCCGATTCTTGTACTGCTCTCAGAAACAAGTAGCATACATTTTAAGTGTGCCATTGTAAAACAAAAGAGCAAGTAGATACTTTGGATGAAGAAAACCTAGGCTGAATGCTGCATTAAGCCTTGCTTAACCTAGGCTTGGATTAAGCAAGTCTTTTTGTATTCCTTGTATCCTTGTGGATTGAAACGTAACAAGTAACTTGAGGGCGATGTGTTTGGAAGAGCAGACTTACCCAGTCTGGTGCTCATTTTTTTCCCACCATCTTCATAACCTTCAGCATTCCTGCTTGTTCTCCTACTGGCTGACTACTGAAAGATGTTTTCCCCCTTCATTTGTTCATGAAACATATCATAAAACATTTTTTCATATGATCAGCACAATGCAATTTTCCACACTGAGACTGTAACACAAATAATACTATTCAGCTTGTGCCTGATCTTCAGAAAAGGGGGATAAGTCTCTTTAAGAGTTCTTATTCTGTCTTCCCTGCATTGCAATTCACTCTTAATTGGGCTAGAGTCTCCCCAAGCCAGGCTTAACCCAGAAACAGGTTCCCTTAGATTCTGTCCCCAAATACTTACAAAGAAAAGGAGGTTGAAGAGGAAAAGGAAGTACTTCGTGACTTTCAGGCAGCCAGACCCCATCTTCCTGGCTTACAAAACCTGGGGGGAAATAGACAACCACGTGAGCATGCATCTTTTACACAGTCTTCACTTGAGTAAGGGACTCTCAAGAGCCCTTTCCACAAGAATTTTCAGGGGAAAGAATGCCTCCTTCCTCAGTAAGCAAGGCATCCAGTGATTCCTATTCCAGTGGCGCTCCTTCTCCAGCGCAGGTCTTAGTCTCAACTTTATCAGAGCTATTCTTGGTGCTCTAGGACGGTGAACCTATTTTAGAGATAGGTGGTCAACACCATGGATAGCTCTTATAAACTGCAAAATTGAAGCTGCAATGGAGAAGGAGTCCCACTGACAAAGATGACTCCCCTGTCAATAGATTACTTGCTTAACTGACTGTTTCCTTAGTGTTAGGAAAAGGCTGTTTGTCTTTGCCTTATTACAAGAGTTTCTCCTCTCTGTTTTCATCTACTAACCATATCAGGAGCCATTTCAGCATAGGAAGTGCAGCATATGCCACCAGTTCCACAGGCAGAGAAGCTTTGGAGCCCAATCAGCCAAGCATCCTGAGCCTGGATATTTTCAGAGGAGTCATATGGTGTAATCATCCAGCAACGCTCACTCAGAGGGTTCAGGTAATATCTTGAATTTGTAACCCTCCATGTTTTCCCACTATTTCTTTCATCTTTTTTATCAGAAGAAAAAGAAATTAAGGGGGAATCACAATAACTGCACACAATACCAGACTTTTCACTGGTAGCCCAAGAGTATTTACACCTGAAATGTTGGGTGAACAAGGCACAGCTATTTCACCATAATTTTAAAGGGCGCTCACATATCATCATGAATTATACATCTTCCACTTGCCCTTTACTTCTTTTCAGAACTCAGAAAACATTTAACTCTTGTGTAGTGCTTGCTGATGGAAGGGTCCTCGTGCTAACTATCACAATGGTGCACCTATCTTATTGTTCTTTCCTAATAGATTTTCTGTGGCACAGTAGATTAGAAGAAGGGGAAGGAAAATATGAAAGGATGACAAGTGGTTGATGTTGTCATTGAGAAATACACCTTGATATCATAAAGCATTCAGTCTCTTTTCCTACAACTAAATTGCTGCCAAAGGCAGGGGTGTAGCTCAAGCTTGGAACTGCACTGCATGGGAGAAAATGATTGGGTACTCATGACATATCAAGCCGTGGACAAGGGGGTGGTTTAATGTGTTATCTAGACTCCAATAAGCCAAGTTTTATGCATGTTATGAGCTACTCCAAAAAACCATGATGGTTGTGGGGCTTAGTAACCCCTTTATCGCTTGTTGTGTTGTCCAAGTCTGAATCGCACGATCCATAATCAAGCAAAAACTCCTTGGAAAGTGTGGCTCTTGCAAGATAATGGATAGCTGTCATAAGTTTCCCCCAGTGCTCTTGCTGGGGAAAAAGGAGAGTCAGTGTGGTGCAGAGGTTAAGAGCGTGGGACTGGGACTCAGGCGACCTGGGTTCGAGTCCCCGCTCAGCCATGGAGCCAACTGGGTGACTTTGGGCCATTCACAAACTCTCAGCCCAACCTACCTCACAGGGTTGTTGTGGGGATAAGATGGAGGAGGAGATGTAAGCTGCCTTGAGCCCTCTGTAGGAAAAAGGCAGGATATAAATCGAAAAATAAATAAAATTTAAAAAAGGGATTCCCTGCCTGCCCCATACACCTCCACCTTCCCAAGTCCCAAGGGAGAAGGTGGGAGTATGTAGAGCAGGTTGCAGTGCTGCTACCAGTACCTGTCCTGTGCCACTTTCCCCAGCCCTGCTCAGGAATGGGGAGGGACGAGCAGCAGATAGCAGCCTGCCCCTCTGCCCCCACTTAGTTGGGGCCCATGGGGCCACACTGTCAAAGTATGATAGAGATAGGACAGTGTGTTTGGCTGAGTCCCCCTGGGAGAAAGCCCAGCTGAGCATGCTCCATCCCCCACTCCAGCTTCCCTAACCTACACTCTTGTTGATGCTGGGAGAATGCACAATCCCCTTCTCCCAATAGCCACAGTGCATGTGCTGGGGAAGTGGCTGACAGTTGCCACAAGTATTGTCAGGGTACTTCCTGCAGCAATCTTACCTGCTCCTCCCAGTGCTCCTACAATGTCCCATGAGATACCAGCAGGAGGACTGAGGGGGACATCAAAGGTTTCTATATTATGACGTCAAAGTGATTTATATTATGCAATGTTTTTAGATGGTCTTTATCTTTGTGGTACACTGTTCTGAGAGCTTTTTTGCCAGATGAATAGTACAGTATATAAAAGTGGGATACTATTTATAGTAGCTTGGGGGTGCTCCTCGACCCAGAACTGTCCTTGGAAGCGCAAGTGACTGTGGTGGTGAGGAGCGCTTTCCTTCAGCTTCGATTGATCCATCAGCTGCGTCCCTACCTGAAGGAAGACTGCCTAGCGACAGTGACACATGCATTGGTTACTTCCCGGTTGGATCTCTGTAACGCGCTCTATGTGGGGCTGCCCTTGAAGACAGTCTGGATACTTCTGATGCTGCAAAACAGAGTGGCCAGGTTGCTGACGGGGACTGGCATTATTCTCATATAACCCCAGTCCTCTATCAGCTTTACTGGCTTCCCATCGAAGTCCGGGCTCAATTCAAGGTGCTGGTTATTACCTATAAAGCCCTTAATGGCTTGGGACCTGGATATCTAAAGGAACGCCTTCTTCCATATTTGCCCTCCCACCCCTTGAGATCGGCAGCAGAGGCCCTCCTCTGGGAGCCCTCCATGAAAGATATTAGGAAGCAAAGTACCCGGAGGAGGGACTTCTCTGCAGTGGCGCCCCATCTGTGGAATGCGCTCCCCGGAGAGGTCTGCCTGGCGCCATCATTATTTGTTTTTCGGCGCCAGGCTAAGACCTTTTTATTCCGGCAATATTTTAATAAGTTTTAATATTGTCTTTTCTATGTTTTTAACTGCAGCCAGTGTGAGTCAGGAATTTATGTATGTTATATTTTATGTTGTAAGCCATCCTGAGACTTTTTGCAACAGGATGGCATATAAATATTTTAAATAAATAAATAATAAAATATTCTACTTGCAGCACATACAAACAAACAAAGCCATGCTTGTGTGTGATTGTCTATAAACCTACAGATACCATCTTCCATGTAGTATGGTATAGTTGTGAAGAGTGTTTGAATGGGTCTCCAGAGATCTGAGTTCTAGTCCTCACCCAGCTATGAAGCTCACAGGGCGATTTTGGGTCAGTAACTGCCTGTCAGAATAGCCCACCTCACAAGATTGTTGTTGTGAAGATCAAATGGAGAGAAGAACTTTGTAAGCTGCCTTGGGCTCCTTGCAAAAGGAGCAATAATGGCATAGACAAGCACTATCATAATCATCCATGTCCTACTGATTATATTAACCTAGGAGTGTGAGCAGAGAATCAAGAGTTGCTTCTAGAAACTGAATTTAATGAGCCTGGTGAACTTAGTGAACAAGCTGGTTAGCATCTAGCTTATTGTTTCCTACTTTATAGAATTTTGTTTGCCTTTAACCTGGATTCATAATTCTGTCATCTAACCGCTTCAGTATGTTAAGAATCATCTAAGATTCTTTGCAGAGACACTCATACCAAACAGAGATAAGTAGGAGTTCTTAACTAGGCGTAGAGGCCATGAAAAGAAAAGACAGAAGAAGCATTTCAACAGCAGAAGCACAACCCAAAAGAACAGTGACTGTGCTGGGCACTTCAAGAGGAGACGAATGAGCTGGGAAAGTTAAATTTGGGATAGGAGACCAGGAAGAGACTCGTATTCAGGGTTTCCTGATGTCTTGGCCTACAAAGCTTAATTGCACTATTATAATCTGATGTGTCTAGCCATGAGCTTGCAGAACAAGGCAGCTTAAGGGAAAGTGGCAGCATTAATGGCCTATAAACATGCCAAGACATCTGTGATGATGCTTCAAGAGTGGGGTGGGGGAAGCAAAAGCAGAGGCAAGAGTCTCAGTCCAAGTCTCAGCAAGTCTGGTGGCAGAGACTTTCACTTTCTTCAATGGGTTGCTTGTCAAGAGCACGGGAAGCAAGGTAGCAATTCTCATGAAGGATGTGGAACTACTTGCACTTGACAACATCCTTAATGGTCCTGTGTGACAATGCAACAGGAAGCAAAGCATGAGCCAGACTAATGGCAGCCAGCCCTCCCGACCTACAGCAGATATGTTCGGAGAGCTTCCTTGTGCAGGGCAGCAGTCAGCAAAGGGCAATGGAACAAAGCGAGCGATTATGTTCCAGTCTAAAGCCTACTTCTAATCTTATTAGGATATTTAGGTCAGTACTGCTATCAGGATGGAATTGGAGCGTCACTCTAATTGGATAGCTCTCCCTCATACACCAGCTAGCAGCAGCATTCAAAAATATATCAGCTTTGTTGGGTGGGAAAGATATGCCACTTAAGATTTCCCAGAGGAAGTAATAGAACTGGCATTTAGTTCTGAAAAGTGAGAAAAGTACACCCACCTCTTCCACCTGGAAACACATCTGGTGAGGATGCCAGAGGAAATCACAAGCCTGATAAGAGCTGTCATGCACTCAGCAGGGCTATGAAGCAAACTCCACCTCAACACTTGAGGAAAATAGGAATCTGCTCCATCCCAAGACAGACTTCTTTGCCAACATGCCTGCTCCAGCAGTGTATCCCCTCCCCCGTTACCTGACCCTTTCAAACAGGCAATACAGGGATTGAACCTTGAGTTATGGCTGCTCTCATTTGAAAGGCGGGGCCCACTAGCAGTAACCTTTCCACTGCTCTTTCCAGCGAGGAATTTTCTCTTTAAATCTTTGGCTGGTCGGCCACTGTGTCACCAGAATACTGAACTAGATAGGCCCTTGGTCTAATCTAGCCTTAGGTCTTCTGGTCGAGTGATAGTAATTCCCATTTGTGCCTGCTTGAACTATTTAACTGCCCCTGTCTTTTTACCTTCTGGTAAAAGTGAGGGAAATGCCTGTCTTGTGGGACATGGCCAAAAGGCAGGACTATTTGCGTAGTGAGTGAAATCAC